ATGGGGAGAACTTTGCAATGCTGAATGACAGTGAACTTAAGTTACTAGGCACTCATCATGATACTCCAAATTACATGACACGACATGAAGATATGGCTGTACAAGAGACAGTTAGATGGTCCTGTGAAAGATACAGGGGAGAAGGAAACAACAGGTGGAGAAGAGAGGCTAGAGACATGTAAGATGTCATGAGAAAAAACTTGAAACAGAATGAGAACACAGTAACAAGGCTTTGGAGTATGGAGCAAATTACAAAAAATACATAGTGAGACAGTTGTGAAGGGGGGGAAATGCATTTTTGATACTTTAGGATTTATGTATAATGCCTAAAAATGAGGGAACTAGGAGGGGGTTTTCTTTTCTTTTTTTTTTTTTTTTACTGTTAGACATTTTGGATCATCAGCAATTGAAGAACCAGTGAAATGGTGACCAGAGCAAGTGTTGCAACTGAACAACTGACTATTTTTAGTCAGATTAATTTTAAACTTGACTAAAACAATATTTTGTTGAGTTAGAGAAGCTCTTTAAAAAGTCTGTCATGTTGGATAAAGTGTTAGCACTCTTGCTCCATAAATTGAATATTAAGAGCTATCTATCTTTGTGATTTCCTCAGAGGTTGCAGAGCAAAGCCAGGAAGAAAGAGCAGATGTAATGTCTCTGACATTTCAGAATTTCTGAGAGAGAAAGCAAACAGGAAACCACTTCAGGTTTCTCTCTAGATGGTACAGAACCCAATCAAATGAAAAAATTCTTCCCAGGTCACCTTAATAGGTGAGCTTCCACTGAAAGCAGTTGGTTGTGTAGTGTGTTTGCTGCTTTTTGATATATCAATAAGGCCTAAGGAGATGTGTGGGGCATAATTTTAACTTAGTAATAAGAAGTGCAAGTCTACTCTTTTGTGGTTTTACTGGAGGATTTGTATCATGCCTGTAGGGACATACTGTGTATGAACTTTCTTTCCCTTGTATGAGGAGCAAGTTAACAAAACCAAAGGCTGTTTTAAGCAGTCCAGATAATAATAACTTCTAATGTTTTTCTGACCTAGTCTGTTTGTCTTAATCTTGCCCATTTTCCAATTGCCTATACTGGTTGCCAGGAAAAGTAACAGTTAACATATAAACATAAGCAGAAAATATAAGCTTGGGAGTAAGGGCAAGGGCAAGCCTCTGTCACATAACATACAGGTGCAAAAGATGTACAACCCTTTTTTTTTCTCTGCCCACCTGTCTTGCTTACATTTTGCTCTATGTCATACATTTTCAAGAAAAGCATGAGCAAAACCGACCAAATAGGTATTTGTGTTGAAACATCAACTTTTGCAGTTCCTGATTTCTTGTATGTGATTATTCAGTTGTGCAGCTGTTAAAATATTGTCTAGAAATCCAAAAATTTTAATTTATTTTTTTAAACTGATGCAGCAGTGAAAAGATGTAAAGAGACTTTTATGAGTCCTCAAGGCCTGTTGGAAGTGTCTTGATATTTTAAAAAGAGACAGGTAAAATACTTGTTTTTAGTGATTCAGATGCCTTAAAAATGCTAAAGCTATAAATAGGCTGTTCACACAAGACTTGAAATGGATACCTAGCAACTGACAGGAGCAATTCTAGACTATCAATGCTTTACGTATGTTTTCACGGATAATATACTCTGGGAATTCAAATTTTTTGTAATTTGACTTCTGGCAAATGTCAGACACACTTCCCTTTCCTGCAAAGCCTACTCCTTTACTTAAAGAACTGTTTTCTCTCAGCATCCTTTTTTGCCTAGACGTCTTCCTGTCCTCAAATCTGTTTTTAATCTATCTACAAGCTAATTTATTTTGGGTTCCTTGTTTGTTGTTCTAGCACATGCTTCACTAAATGTAAATGACATTCTTAGGTGACAACGATTACTCTGAGATCCCCTTAAATCAGTGGTTCTCAACCTTTTTAGACTCAAGACATCCCTGAATAGACTTGAGGCACCCCATAGCAAATACCCACTCTTAGTTTTTACTCTTATTTTTTGTAATTAAAAAATGAAAGAGTTTTTCTTTTGTAAAGAATTCAGAAAGACTACAACTATGGTTTCTATTTGAAATCTGCATTTATCTTATGAATTATGCACGTAAGCCTAACAGTGCTAATGTGTGGCATCCCACAGTATCTCTCAATTCTTTGAGATTCCCCAAAAATCTCAAGGCACCCCAGTTCTGGAGTATACTTCCCCTCCCAAAAAAAATTATCAAAATCCCTTAGTTTGACTAGGATATGATGTAGACTTCATCTCAAGTGAAGTATATTTTTTAGTGCAACATTGGGCTGTTTATAAAATTGAGTCTTTAACCGGAAGCAAGATGAATTAAAAATAGAATGTTGTACTATATTGCTCTGTTGGGAGTTGGACAACTAACTGCTAATAGTGTCTTAGGCCCTAAACCCACATAAAGTGCCATGCAGTTACTGTTGTATACTTATTCACATGGATACACTATTTGGTAATACTGTTGAAACTTTCAGATTTCTCAAATTATTTTTTCCATGTTAGCCTAAAATGTCAGCTACAGCTGTTGCATTTTAAAACAGTAATTTGTACAGAGAGCTCTTGTGGGTTTAATGCTCCAACAAATCATGTAATATCTTTGGAAATGTTCAAAATGAGCATTTTAAAAAGTTGCTAAAGGAATAACACTTTCCTGTTTGCTTTTTCAATTCTTCCCCTACTTATGAACAGTTAGTCGCTTTTGTGCGTCAGAGCACTGCTCCTGGTAACTTATCCTACTGGAGTTGGCTGCCACATCATAGTTGTCTGGGTGTTATGTATTAATATTACATTATTTCTAGCAACTCCTATCTGAACCAAAATGTCTGTTGTTACTGATTTCATTCCTCCCACCACACATCGCTGTGCACTAAATCAGTGTTTGAATTAGTGTTCTGGAGTCCAGCAAGTTCTCTGTACCGTTCAAATTTGTTGCAATTCAATTTTTGACATTCTAGCAGATGATAATATAGTTCAATTTATTCGTCTCTAAAAACACATACTCAGTTACTTTCCTATTCTCCTTTGAACCTGATAAAGAAACAGTGAATTAATTTTTGATAAATGGAGACTTACTAATTAGATAAATAATAGTACTAGGTTAATGGCTAGCTCTTACTTAATTTAAATATTATGTAGTAAAACAACTATCTCTCTACGATATTCACTGAAGGTTGCAATCCAAGCTACAGGCTGAAGAACTCCTTTTAATAAAAAAAAAAAAAATGCTCTGCATCTACCATTATTAAATATTCTGACTGCCTTATGCAGCCTGTAAAATTGTAGAATGAATAGCTGTGTTCCCACTTTCTTGGTAGGGTTTTTTTGGAGGTATTTTTCTCTTGTAGTCACAAGTTTTTTCTTCCTAGGGCGCCAATGCCTCTGCTTTGGAGAAAGAGATTGGTCCGGAACAGTTTCCTGTGAATGAACATTATTTTGGCTTGGTCAATGTGAGTGACTTCTTACTTTTTTGTGTGCTGTTTTCTGTTTTGGTCCTTCAGAAAATGACTGGAATTTCTTTGAGAACCTTATCTGTGGGTAGGTCTGGCACAAAGTGAGAATCTGCTTAAACACATCTGCTTGCAACATTTTATATTTTCATTATTAAAAATAATATTTATTTTACATTCTTATTTTGCTGTACTTATGAGTAAAAAGTCTAAGAGAAGGACTCAGACTTGAGCATGTTTTAAATATAGGATCATAGTAATCAGAACTGGAAAAGGTCCATTAAATGATGTATGTAATATGATTTAAGATCTATCTTGGATATTAAAAATTGCCTAACTTATGATATAGCCACTAAATTAAGAATTCTGAAACAAATGCAACATTATAATAATCCTGTTGTTTAGGACAGAGGTTGGCGACACACAGCTCACAGGCTGGATCCAGCCCAAGAGCCACTGGATCTGGCCAACAGAGCCTTCTGGCTCTGCCCAGGCTGGGGCTGCACTGCTGCCATTTCTCCCCACCCCCTAATCCCTGGCTGCAGCATGGGTGCAGCTTCCAGCCAGTGGGAAACTGAGCTGGGGCTGGCTGTGCCTGGGCTGCAGCAGGGGTGGAGGGAAGGGTAGCAGCAGTGTAGACAACTGCCTGGCCTGGGTGCATCTTCTCACTGGCTGGAAGCTGCAATCACTCCTCAGCCAAGGAACAGTGAGGCTGGGAAAAGCAGTGATGGCACCGGCACAACTCCCAGCTGCCTGGCTGTGATGTGGGTGCAGGCAAACCCTACTTGCTGCTGACACGCCAGCAAAGCCACCTGATCTGTGCTGGACTGCATCCTGGTTGCTCCAGTCTGTGGCTTGAAAGGTTGCCAGCCCCTAGTTTAGGACATCAGACTAGTGCTTTCAGATTGAGAAAGCAAGTATTGTACCTGATCTGTAGCATCTTTTTATTAATGACAGGATGTAGGAAATGAAAACACATATAATGATCACTAGGTGTAATTCATTTTGAAGGAAAAAGTCCCCCTTCTGCCACTAATGGGTATTTCACATCAAAACTGAAGAACAAACTGAAAGTATTTTTGAATACAGTTAATGGATCTATTAAAATATAGTTTGTATAGGGCTACATGTCTACAACCAAGTTTGATTTAATTGATTTTCATTTTGTCTCTAGAAGATCATGTTCTCAGAGATTAACAATCTAAACACTCTGACTCATCTTCCTTACGTGTCATATTAACTGCTGTCCCAAGCCTGTTGAGATTTGTCTCATAATGGGAAAAATGGAAGACATGTTCAATTGCAACATAAATAGCAAAACTATGGATAGTTTGAAGAAAAAATAGCATTCTAAAAATAACAACAAAAATAATGTTTTGCCGTCCACACACACTGTTCACAAGGACACAGATGGCCAATATTACTGTACTTAATTTCCTGTGATGAATTCTTTGGGCACTCACTTTTCCATCCAACTCCATTGCCAATTCCCTAATTTTCTTCCTCCCAGGTTATTCCCAGGCGTCACAGTATACTTTGAAATCAGCTGGATCATACAAAGAGATACAGATCAGTTTTAGCCCACTTTCTGAAACATAACATTTTCAAATTTAAAGACTTTTGTCTTGAAAATGCAGCCTATGAGAACCCTTTGATGGGACATGTAAAAGTACTTTAAACTGAATTAAATTTCAAGAAAGTGAGAGCTAAATATCTTTACAAATCTTGTTTCAGTAAAAGAGTTGTGTGGGGTTTTTTGGGGGGATGTTGTTTCTTTTATTTTTTTTTTTAATAGTTAAAAAAATTTCAAGCTATTTACTAGCCTGAGTTCTCCAGTCACATTTGCCTACATTTTAAAAAAAATCTCTCTGCTGTCACTTTGTAAAAACATTTTTCTACAGTGAAAGAAGAAACATTGAAATTCAGATGCAAAGTGCTGGTAGCTGTCAACCTGGCCAAACAGCAGAAACCCATCTAATTTATAATATATAAATGTTGGTTTTGGAGAGTGCTGGTCTATAATACAGATAGGTACAAAGTCAGTAGCTGCGGGTCTTGGACCCTTGGATGATATTCTGGCCCTGCTGAAGTCAGTAGGAGTTCTGTGGAGCCAAGATTTCATTCTTGGTTTGGTTTTACTTTTGTCCTTGAGGCTCCAATATAATATTTGAGGTATGTACCTCTTGCATTAATGAAGTATCCAGCATGCTTTTGGATGCAATATCATTAAACTACAAACAAAAGGCAGATAAGTGATTGGAGGAAAAATATCTCATATGTTAATATCCAATAATCATCTAAGTAGTTGCTAGTAATAGAGCATATTTTTAAAAGCAGGAACGTGTAGGTTTTTTTCTTTTTTGGTTTTAAGTTGACTGTTTCACCATATTTCTTAGGAGACTATTACAATTACACAGCCTTTTACATCCTGCTCATACAAAGCTTTTTTGTTAGTTTGTCTTATTCATGCTTTTGGCTTTGGATCTCTCAGTTCAACTTATTCATTCTGTCCTGGATATTTATATCCTTTAAATGTTTGAAGACCTGTATAAGGTGTTTTTGTGTTTCTCTCCTAACTACACTGCATATTTTTACTTTTTCCCCAGTCCCCTATCATTCTTGTTTCTCTTCTTTGAATAAATTCTCTTCCTTTCACCTTCATGCCTTGGAAATTTGCACCAAATTGAGGCAGTATGCTCATACTAGTGGTGTGCACAGGGTCTATTTATTCCATTCTCTTGTGATTCCTGTGGGTGAACAGTCCAAAAATCCAAGTTGCCTGTTTGCTTTCTTGTTGTAGCACAAACTTTAGTACCTAGTATCATGTCTACATTCAGCAAAGCTCATTTCTAGGTTTCCACTTTCCATTAAATGAATGTGAGTTTTCTTTTCTTCTGAAAGTATTACTTACCTGCTCTTCTCAGAGGAGTCTGGTTTTTTTTTTTTTTTCTCCTCTGCCAGTGTTTTTAATTATTCCAGGTCCTATTTCTCTGTTCTCACTGGTGCTGGCAACTCTTACCAATTGTCTATCTTCCACAAATTATGCTAATGTGATGCTTTTTCAGTCATGTGTATCATGTGTATCAGCCTGACTTGCACGTTTGTTTTGGTCATATAAATAGCAGTTCTAACCATCGTTTCCTTTTTCTTATATTTGCATAAGCTTCAGTTTGTATAAAGTATATACGGCTGTAACCTTTTGAGCTGTATGAATTAAACTCTGATTTTGTATTTGCCCGCTCAGCGAGTTGGCTATCAGTGTTCAATCACCCTGCTATAGTAATTATATAAAATTCTGGTGAGCACTGGTAGCCATGTTCTCAGAGTACCACTTAATGTTATTATCAGCATTCTACACTCGGATCACCTGTATGTTAATTTTGTTTGTTTAAAATATTTCCCTCAGAATGCTCTTGAGATGCAGCATCTCATTACAGAAGGATCCTGGGGAATGGGAAACCTGGAATCACTGCTGGCTCCTTTGCAGTAGCAGTATTGCACAATCTAGCCATTGTAAAATAAATGGCATGTGCTACCATAAACAGAAGAATCCAAACCAACAAAAACAGGCTATTTCATGTAGCTGTATAAAAGCATCCAATTTTCATGGGTTAAACATTTCTCCTTGTTAGGCAATCTGGGATCCTTTGCATCTAAGACATTGCTTACCATCATTACTGTCCTTTTTTCTGTAATGACACGGCCTTCAGATAAGGCAAATGTAGATAAGCAAATGTAAACCAGCTGCTCTCTAGATAGTTCCACATAATACTTCTGCCAGTGTTTCACTGTAAAAGGATGCATGTACTGTGATATATTGTACAATAGTATTAAAAGGGGTTTTGGTGTCCAATGAAGGCAAGACAAGGCTTTCTGAGTAAATCCAATATCTTTTATTAGATCAACTCAAATAATTGGAAAACATCTTCTTAGCAAGTTTTCGGGCACAAACACCTTTCTTCAGGCTGCGGAAGCATCTGCAGATGGTCTGTGCTCTTCCTGCTAAGAAGAATTTTTCTAACAATTTGAGTTGCTCTAATAAGGTTCTTTGTGTAAATCTTTTGTCTGCCTATGTCTTTAGACCAACACGGCTACAACCTACACCCCTGAAACAATGAAGGCAAATTATTTCACAGTTTTATCTTTGAACATTTCTTATTTTAGTATAGCTGATATGAAGAAACATGGTGATGCTTTCAGTTCCCATCTTGTCATTTTGTTTGTTTGGCTTGTGTACCCTCCAAGAACTCTGTGGCCCCTTTTTGTGTAGACCACAGCAGCCTCTGCCCTGCCTAGGACAAATACCTATATCCCATGCTGTCCCTTGCCAGTTTTACCTGCCTGGGCTAAGTTTGGAAACAGCCATAACTTGGGCCAGATATTAGGATTTTTTCAAGAAACTAACTGTATTACAATTCATTCAGTTCACCAAATGAATTAATTTTACTACCACCTACACTACACAAGAAAACCCCTGCAGATAATAAAAATGGTAACAGTAGTATCCATCCTCCACAGCTTTGAGAAAGGTATTACTGGTATGTCCTACCTTAGCTCTCATAATGGAGAAGGATTACTTTTTAATTTTCCCAGCCTGCTGGAAACTGTGACCATAATTTGAAACTAGCAGTGATTTTTCTTTTGTCTGCCCACACCAAGCCACCATCCTGGGGCTTCTTTTCCAAAACTTTTTTCTTTTTTTTTTTTTTTTTGAGTGGGTGGCTGCGGAATGAGGGGATGCAGGGGGAGGAGGGGAGAAGCCTTTTGAGGTATATTGAATTAGGACCCAAAATGTTGCTTTATAAAAATCTTGGTCTGTGAATCTTTGCCTGTTCATTTGATTCTCAGTGGGTGTCCATCCACTGTTCTTTTCTTTCTCTCTCTGATTTGGTTTGGTTTGGTTTGGTTTTTTACTGTTGGGTAGACTATTAATAGCATCATTGGCATTCCCCACTCAAACTTGAAGATACCCGCTGATACTAGTAGTATTTTTTTTAAAGCAACATAAAAAACTCTAGCTTTTAATTAACAGCCGCCAGATAAGCTTTTGGGGTAGAGAGGGGGATGTTTTGTTGTTTGTTTTGTTTTTTAATTGAGAGCTGCCCACAAGAGCATCGCCCATAAAAATAAGCCTCCTCTTCTCACGTTAATATTTATGTATTTAATTGGTGGAAAAAATCAATAGTCTTATGCTTTACTATCAATACCAATATTGTGCTTCTAAATTGATCATTGCTCAGAATGCCAAATTTCATAAATACAGTTAGTATTACAAATGGCACTATGAAGCTAAAAATTGTATGCAGAAAATATTTTTGTAAATACCAGATACAATCGATATAATATGTTAAATATCTGAAATCAGTTTCTCACTTGCTTCTAATAATTTATGCTCTTTTGTTTCTTTCACTTTTCTGTCTTTGGACAGAGAAATTGTCACTTTTTCTTGAGGTTTCTCACACTGTTGTGTTAGGTTTCCAGTATTTAAGGTGTAATATCTTGATTAAAAAGTCAATTTTTAGTTTTATAAATGTTTCTTTACCTATTAGTCTTTGTAACACCTCCTGTCTTTGCAGTAGCAATCTTAATGTTCTCTTGTTACTTTGTAACAGACATAATGTGAAAATGCGTGTTTGTTTCTTTCTTGGTTTGTTTTAATCAGTTTGGCAATACCTGCTACTGCAACTCAGTCCTACAGGCACTTTATTTTTGTCGTCCGTTTCGGGAAAAAGTTTTGGCATACAAGGTCCAGCCCCGGAAGAAGGAAAGCCTACTTACGTGCCTCTCCGATCTCTTCAATAGCATTGCCACGCAAAAGAAGAAGGTGGGGGTCATCCCTCCCAAGAAATTTATTTCTCGATTGAGGAAAGAAAATGGTAAATGAATAAATGAAGTACTTGCAAAATTCCATATTGGATATTTAAACTGCACATTGATATGTGACAATAACTTTCTTTTCAAGTGTATCTACATTGACTGACTTTTACAAGCTTTAGCAACCAGATATTGAAAGGTTCTGGTCCCAATTTGTGATTCAAGTTTTCCCCACTTTTGTGGTATAAAGAAGGACCTGATGTCCTTGTAGGTGGGTTTTCCTGTTGCATCCATTTTAGTACAGGTCAAACACATGGTAGAATATATGCCAAGAACTCACAGTACTCTGTGTCCAGACTTCCTCCTCTTCTTCTCTGCCCCAAAGTAGTTACCCAGGGTAACTTTTTGCATTTTTGGCAGTCAGCACCCATTAAATTGGAGAGCTGAATTAAGTTTTATAAACTTGCCTTTCTTGAAAAGCTAAGAATTAGGAGGAGTAATCTAGAGTACATAAACATCACTGTTAGAGTGGTATCATGCATGTTTTTTTATAGCAACTTCAGTCGTATATCCCAAAATGATCTGAACAGTTCAATAATAGCTGTGGCTTAGAAAAATTCTTGATTATAGATGAGAGTAGTACCCATGCAGTGATTCCCATGAGCAGTTTAACATGGCATTGTTAGTTTTAGCATATTATGCTCTTTCATTCTCCCAAACCTCTTCTTTCCAGAGTTGTTTGATAATTATATGCAGCAAGATGCACATGAATTCCTAAACTACCTACTAAACACTATTGCTGACTTGCTTCAAGAAGAGAAAAAGCAAGAGAAACAGAATGGCAAACTCCAGAATGGCAGCATTGAGAGTGAAGAAGGGGACAAGACTGATCTCACGTGGGTCCATGAAATCTTCCAAGGAACACTAACTAACGAAACCAGATGTCTTAACTGTGAAGCTGTACGTTTAAAAACCAAACTGAAAAAACCCTTTTTTATTTGATTTTCAAAGGTCTTCGACCCTTTTCCCCTAACTCTAAGCACAGTTTTTCATTTATGAAGGTAGATGAAATAGAACAATGTGTGTTCTAATTAAAAAATAGAACCTAACGTATTTTATGACTGTATCAGCTGTCCATTGAAACTAATACTCGTTAAGGTATGTTTCATCCATCATCCCCTTCCTGCTTTCCCCACAGCAATCTGTGCCTGGCTGATATGAGCAGTTTTTTTGTCTTCACATAATTTTTTGGCAAAGTGATGGATAGTGTACGTTGTTTTTATATGAGAGTAACTCACCATTATTTTACCTGTTGCAATAGCTGAATATAATAGTATCTTAAGTTAAAAGGATGAATTTCTGGGTGTTGATCAGTACTCATTTGAAAACAAAAAACATGCCAGAAAGACTAAAACTAAAAGAACCAAATGACCTTTAGGCCAAAAATTTTGTAGTTAGCCACATAGTAATGAAATCCTAGCAGAGGAGAGAAAAGAGAAATGATAAAAATGTCTGGCACTAATGCCTTCAAGTAGCTCTCAATGTTAAAAGTGTTTCTGAGTTTAAAATTATGGCTATATTCTTAACCGAGACTTTGTACAAATTCCATTATGGGGTTATTGCAGACTTTGAGCCGAATTGTAATTAATGCACAGATCAGAAGATGGTTTTCCCTACTGCCAGTATTTCTAACTGTCTCATGAGCTGAATGAAAATCCATCTTTCTTTCTGCTTTTATACCGTCCCCATATTGGAGAAATATAGCAGATAATTTCACCAACCTGCAAAATAGGTTGGAATCCATTTTAAGTCTGCAAGAGAATTCACTGGTAAAAAAAAATTACCAGTGAAGTAAGCAGAAGTGTTTAAGGCAATGTCTGTTCCCCTTCTGGGCCAAATCCGGGACCACTGGATAGATATTATAGCTAACTGAGTGTGGCCCTGAGCACACACCAAAGATGCCTGAGTTGGAGCACAGCCCCTGGGGTATGCAGTCTGGAGTGCACCAAGCCAGTTACACTGCCTAATTTTCAAGTTCTGGTACACATCGGGTAGGTTCCTGTGGGCAGGTGCCATACACATCAGGTGGCAGTCCCAGGCTTGTACACAAGCCCCTGAGGGTACAAGGTAGATGGAAATTTTGTGCAGGGAGGAAGCAACCTTATGTAGTCTTTTTGGGGACTGTTCTGATTCAGGCTGTATCTGTATTTCTAGAATTGTTAAAAAAAGAGCCCCTGAGTGCATTCATCAAACTATGAGATGTTCTCATTTCTCTCAGGACCTGTGCCTTTTCAGGTGTGTTTAAACCATTCTAAATCTGCCAGATTACAAGCTGCTATGATTTATTTCTCCTTATTTTTTCAAGGTTAGTAGCAAAGATGAGGACTTTCTGGACCTTTCGGTTGATGTGGAACAAAATACATCAATTACTCACTGCCTAAGGTAAATGAAAGAGAGACTCTGTGGGTATATGGAAAGGACACCAATGCACACATTCAGAGCAGAATGTCTGGTTTAACTATCAAACTGGGCAACAGTTAATGTCCACAGCTTACTGTGAAATATTTCTGCTCACAATCCTGTTGTGTGTCTTTTCGTTAACGCTGTAAGGAAGTATCCATTTAGTCAGATCTAATAAAGCTGCTGATTTCTTAGTATTCTTGGGTACATCAACACTTGCACTTTACTGCGGAGTAGACTAATTAGCTGCACAGGAAAACGTCACTGTCTACACACACACCAGTATTAGGGCGCAGTACACTAATTAACTCCACAGTCGGAGACAGTACTCTCTTATGGCAGAGTAATTAACTGTGCTGAAAGACTTGTAGACGATGACTGGGCAGGGGTCAGACTCCTGGCTGCTGCCTAGCCACACAGCTCCACAGGTTATGCACCCTCGTGCTGCAGTCAGCCCCAACACCACCATCTGGAGCCTGGGACTGACTTCCTGTATCCCCCCAACCCCCCACCAACCTGGGCCTGCCCCATCCAGCCTCAAATTGCTGCCATCCCAGGCACACAAGTAGGTGCTGTGCTTGGGAACAATCTGCTCTGGCTCAAGCAGCTCCTCAGTTTATTGCTTCACCTTAATTCCATGTGTAGATGCACCCAGAGTGTGTTTCGTAGTGGGAACTCAGAATAGGATGTATCTTTCTGATAGGGATTTGAAGGGCTACTTGATTGTATAAGTTTTAGCAAAGTTAACTCCATGTATTCAGAATATTTTTCCCCTTCATTTTGCTGAAATGCTTTTGATCTTTGCCAGGAGAGGGTTGAGTTTCTTGGGTTAGGTGTTGTTAGAATTCACTGCTCTAGAATTCACTCTTTTTGGGGGGTTGTCTGGCAATGCCTGTGCTTATCAAATGTAAGGATGCTTTGCAAGATGCACATTGAACCTAGGTTTTTAATACCAGGTATGGGTTGTAATGATGACTGAAGGTTGGGGAGTGGTTTGATCATGTGGCCAAATGATAGCTAATGATCATGGGTTTTAATTTTTGTACCAGCACCTGAATAGAAATGTGAAATAGATAATGTTACAAACAGTCATGGTCAGATACCAGCCAGTTTATGTATGGAAAGAAGCCACATTCAAGAAAGAAACAGATACCACAGGGGGACAGATAAAAGTAAAAGTAGTGGCTTGGAGATGCCCTAGTTTGAAAGAGGGGACTTTTCATCATTTCTCGTACAGGTTTCTTTTGCCTGATGTTAGTAGGGTAGTAGCTGATAACCAGATGGAGATGACTGAGTTTTCCTGGGTTTTCTGAGTTTGACTGAGTTTTCTAGTTCAGTGTTTTTTTGCATTTAATTTCCACAGGGGGTTCAGTAATACTGAGACTCTATGCAGTGAATACAAATACTACTGTGAGCAGTGTCGCAGTAAACAGGAAGCACAGAAAAGGTAAGGTTAGGTTACCCTGGAACATGATGATGCTTTCTTGGTGCCGGCAGGCACCTGCATAACTATACATTGTTAATCTAGTAGTGTTTCTTAACATGTTCTGATTGAGGGTGTTGTGCTTTCTTTTCTCTCTCATAATCAAAGGAGAAATCAGTAGGTCAGTTTCACATTTCTCCTCTGTCTTACCCAGCATACTATTGTAAATCCATCTTTTACACTTAGTTAATAGCAGTTTGGACACAAGGGCAGAGGTTTATTCCCTTTCACTTCCGTGATGTTGATGTAGATTGTGTCTAGCACTGGCAACCCTCTGTCTTACATCCAAATGTCAGTTGTATTATAAATCTTTCCCACTCTTCCTAGAGTTACATTTTTTTGTGGCAGCAACCTTTCTGCCTTCTAGCTAGATTATTTTTGGGGGGAAAAAAATTCAAGGGCTGCCTTGTAACATGTTTTCTTTTGTTTTTTATGGTCCAGAATGAGAGTGAAAAAGTTGCCCATGATTCTAGCTCTGCACTTAAAGAGGTTCAAATACATGGACCAGCTGCATCGATATACCAAACTCTCCTACCGTGTAGTCTTTCCCTTAGAGCTTCGGCTTTTTAACACTTCAGGCGATGCTACAAACCCAGACAGAATGTACGACCTTGTGGCTGTAGTTGTTCACTGTGGCAGGTATGTCTCATGCTTTTAGAAATTTAGGTGAATTTCCATGAGAATTGCACTGAATTGGTCTTTCATGTTCTACTCTGTGCCACTGCAAGAGCAGTCTTAGTAACTCAGCTAATCTGTTGAAAGGATAAAAAGTGGTTCAATAGTTTTAAGTCTAACACTTTTTGGAAATTCTTTTATACTACTTATGCGTTTTTATAGTCTCATGCTTGCTGGGCTTTTTATTTATTTATTTTTATTCAGCTTAAAATATGCTAAAATTTCATTCACGCAGGCCTTGTCCCAGCAAAACAGGAGAGGAATCAAAAACTACAAGTGAGCAAAATAACATAAAAGGAACTCTTTAAAAACTGTTACTAAAGTGGAATTTGTACATCCCATCTTGGTACTTGATAAAATTTTCTTTAAAAAAAAATGGTGCCACCAAGTGGCTAAATTACATACTTCTGATTTTATTTTTTTTTAAACAGCTACATAATTTTGACCTCACCGGTTTGAAACTGATTTAAAACCATTGCAAGTAGTAGTTTGTTTTTTTAAAACAGTACACATAGGGAAAAGCACTTAAAACATTGGTTTGTCAGGAAAAGTCTTACACTTTTAAGAGAAGCCAGAAAAAAGTGTTTAAAACTGAAATACCTCTTGAAAGGTAAATCTTAAAATAACTAGAAGCCTGGTGCAGTGTCTTTATAGAATATCAGAAATATTTGAAAAGCATCAGTTAGGAAAGCAGAGGATCAACAAAATCAATACACTGGTGTTGAAAGTATTAATGATAAATCTGTGCTATACCTAATTCTAACCTGGATGATATTGTGAAACCACTCGGCTGCGGTCACATTATTGCAGCGGCAGTTTGCTCAGATCCCAACCTTGCAGGTTTTTAATGTGGAAGCTAAACCTCTAAGATTATACTTGTGTTCATTGTAATAACCTTCAACCATGGCACACAAAAATGGTTATAGGGAGGATTTTTGTTTTACCAAATGACTCAGGAGTTTTGCAAAGCTGCTGTCTTGTAAACCTGGGGCTTTTTCAATGAATCAGCAGTTTTTGCTATTTTTAACACTTATCAGGCTGGCACTTACCAATTTATTTTCTGATAGTTTTAGATTTTTCAATACATCTGTTAAAATACTTTTATGGTTTCACTCGTTCATTTACTTAGACAAGCTTTTATTTAAAAGTAGGGAAAGCATTAGGCAAACATAAAATAGCTGTTGTTGTCTGGAATATTATATTATTTTCCTTTGAGGACAAGTTTAACGCATCAATGGTCTCCCTTTTTCTGGCAGTGGTCCAAACCGTGGACATTATATCACCATTGTGAAGAGTCATGGCTTTTGGTTGCTGTTTGATGATGACATTGTGGAGGTAGGCATGCAGGTTACTTTTTTATGTCCTCAAATCTGTGTAGATAGCATGATTTTTGGCTATATGCAAGGGTTCCTTTTTTAATTTCTAAGATATTACTTTGTATCTGTAAAAGGATTTTTAGCAGTGGCTGTACAGAAGGGTTCTCAAAGTTCTGACTTCCACAAAAGTAAGTTTTGTGTTTTACAGAAAGTCTTCTTGTATGAATTGCCTGGAGAAACCCAAACCTAACTGAGGGCTGCATTGACAACTTGGCAGAAGCCCTCAAGATTATGGCTCTACAGTCTAAAATACCCTATACAAGCTATAACTTCAACTTTAGGGGTGTAAAACACTAGTTCAATTTTCTCCACCTCTTTTTTGCTCTATCTTAGGACCAATAACTATATCATCATGCTGATTTTGACAACATTTTGCTTTTATGTTGTAAAAGGAAATTAAGAACCACAGAAATTGAAAAACATTTTTGGCATATAACTAATTTAGATACCAAATTATCCATATAATGTTTGGACTTTTAGCTGTAGTGTATGTAAACATGTTGGTAAAACAAGTATTCTGTACTTTACAGAATACTTGACCTATAAATAATGTGCATCTAAAATGTACGCGCTTCAAATAGAGACACCATCTTACACCCAACTCCTACTTATCATGTGGGAGCCCAAATGAGGGATATTTTTTTTAAAGCTGCTTTTAAAAATGCATGTTTGTCTCTTGTCTTTTATTAGAGCCATTTCTAAAGATCTAAGTTCAAACTTTGATTAATAAATAAGCAAAATCTGTTTATCCGTATCTGAATACCAGTGATGATATGGGAGAATTTTCAGAATTCTTTTTGATCCATCACTAGCTTCAAGTGCTACCACATGACTTCTCAGTGCTCTGCCACACATCATCTCTTCATATCCTTGGCTGATCATCCTCTTCTTTGATGGCACACCACCATTCCCTCTACAGTTATTGACTCAAAGTTATTTCCCTTCATAAAGCTGGTCTTACCAAAGTATGTTTCTTAATTTCCACAATAGACCACTTTTCTCCAATAAGTTTTCTAATATAAGCAGTTATTCTTTCTGTCTGGAGATAAACTTGTCTATAATCTTTAAAAGTAGATGTAAAATAGCCTTCTTACTGTTTTCTTTCATTTATTCTCAATCAGTGACTTCCACGTTATCTCTGTCTCTCTGGTCAGAACAAAATTTCTCATTATCTGCAAACACTGACAATTTTTTTGGATCTCTCCAAGAGCAGAACGATTTGATCTTTTGTATGTGTGCTGGTGTGTTTGGGGCAGTGAACTTGAGGAGTTCTGACTATGGACACACTGTTACAGATTTGTTTGAGAGATGCTTTTTTTTTCCTAATCTCTTTCTTACTTTAGTCATGGTTTAAAGTAACATGACATTTAATTGTTACAGTACTACCTAGTTGATTTGAAAATAGCACATCCCTTGTGTAAGGGATTCCCTTTAGTCTTCACAACTGTTGGGTTAGAAATCTAGTTTTTCATGTTGTGAGGTAAGGGAAAACTTTTCCCCTTACATATGCAAGTCAGTTTCTGTAGAACTAGTTTTCATTTCAGAATGATTTCTTTCCCATGTAGCTCTGAAGGCAAAAGCTTGAAAAATTGAGGGTTGAGGGGATTTAGCACAGTCTGGTTCAGTCTGTTGTGAAGAAGGTAACGATTCCTACCAGGCTGTGTCCCTGACCAGGGCCATCCCTATGGAGAAGGGAATTGGGGCGACCACCCCAGGCCCTGCACTGTCGGGGGCCCCGCGGACAGTGCTGTACAGGCCCCGCTGCCGCCACTGGCCACCCCCACCCCTCAGCCCTGCACAGGCTGCTGTGCCTCATGCCCCGCACACCCCTAGGAACAGCTCTGTCCCTGACCTCTTCTCACATTTGTCTTCATATTAGCATTTGTCTGATAAATACCTGATAAATGTGAAGATTGCCCTCATGCTGGACTTGGAAGCAGTTTTCTCTTCTGTCCCCCTACAGCACCCCTGAATATGTGCTTGTGGGGATCATCCTAGCTATGGAGGTAGAATGGTCTCTGCTACTCTGCTTGCTCACATTTCAGGCAGCTAGAATAAGATTGCCTTTGAAGCTTTGTCTATTCTACCCCTCCCCACCCCCCAATCCCTTCTTTGGTCATTTTATATGAAGTAGCTCAGCTCCCTGCTGCTGCTTTAGCTTTTGTGAGCAACAGCAAAGTAAAACTGAACAGATTCCTGTCAGGTTCATAGTTGCCCACAGGAGTTTAGATATCAGCTCTGAAGCTGACCCAAGTAGTTACACTTTCAGGCTATTGCTGCTTGACGTCGTAGAGCTTCTTCAGGAAATAGCCCTGCATCAGGGAGCAATTCTCTTCCCAACTGTGAGACCTAGGAAAGTAACTTAAACATGAAGATTTGATTCTGTAGTTGTCATCATAGGACTTTCCATTCGCCAAAGGGAACTTCCTACTTACCAGAGCAGAACATGCAAAAGGATTTGTTCATGCTCTAGAGATTGTCTTCTACATGTGAACCAAACACACAGTGAAACAAATAATTTGTCAGTACACTCCTGAAGTCAGGTCCAAAACTTCTGTGCTTGCTCATATGTTTTTTGAAGAAGCTGCAGAGCAATGGGGGAAAACTTTTATCCCTTACAGTTTTACAATACACCAGAAGCTTTATTGCACATTTGTTATAAATACTATGATTAAATACATTTGAAATGTATATAGGAAGCTGTTTACTTTTACTAGCCTGAAGCTATGCCACATGCCTGTGAAAGGGTGAAGGATCAAATTTCAGGCAAAATATAAAGTAGGTAAACATTTAAATATATGTAAAACTCTGTGTATTGCAGCATGTGACAAATTATCACATCAAATGCAGAATGCAAATTGTTCAAATGAAAAAGCATGCAAAGCCAGATTGCTTGAAAGAGCTGTAGGTAAATGTTTGTTTCCTGTACTGGTAGCTGTATAAACTATCAGGTCAGAGCAACAGTATTGTACCACAGTGGCAACTTCTGTATGGAATGGAAGGAAAAGTGTCTATCCAAATTGGGTTTCCCAAATTATGATGGAAAAGTCAAAAGAATGAATGTATAGCCTAGTAAAGTATGCTTGGGTAAGAGAGAGCTGTTACTTGGAGGTTGGAAGTGGTATCAAAGAAAAGGAATTGTTTGTTGTGGACTAGAATAATATAATAGTGTGAAAACAAGCAAAGAAATACTTGAGCTCAATAATAAAAATATCCCTTATGTCAGGTCAGTTAGGTATAGAACAGTCTCCAAGAGAAACTTCAACCAGTTTTCACTTTAAAACTAGACTGGACAAAACTCTTGAGTGTGCTGTGGGGAGCAGTCCTGCTATGGAAGGGGGAACAAAAAAAAGGTAATCATAGTTCTTTTCCATCTCCAATTTGTTGTTCTGTGAATAGTGAAAGTCAAAAAGAGTTAAGAGATGCAGCTATGCTACTGAAGACACTAAAGAGCATCTGTGGGATAAATGAATCTTTAAGAACATTTCTGAGTTCTGTTTAAAATGCTAAGCTGTGGAAATAGATTTGATTGCATGGTAAGTTAGTTAGCAGTTAAATTTAAATAGTGGCAAATATTTACAGAACCGCCTGACATGAAGTCTGGAGAATAAACTGTTGTGATTAGTTTTTTTGGGTTTTTTTCTCTCATGAATCCTTCTCTGCAGTAGTTTTGTGCAAGGCTCTGAGAAAGTGTTTTGGAAAAATAGACCTTTTTATATACCTCTTCCCAGGACTTCAGAGCACTTTGAAATACCTGCATCAAGGACTTTTGGATTTTCACACCATTTAGTGTCATGCATGTCCTTGTTTCAACTTGCATAATGTGTAATTCCATCTTGCATATGATGCATCTTTCTGGTGACTTATTGTATGTGTGTGCGTGCGTGCACATGTGTATGATGCCCCTTCCCCAGAATGCTTAAACAAGCAGGTTACATTATACATTCTCTTCAAAGCTGAGGATACTGATGCTTTGGTTTATATTACCAGCACTTTCCACAGGTCATGAAAACAGTTGATGACATTATGGACCTGTGCGGGCAATGTTCAAAGAGCCGCTGAATTTGTTCCTCCTGTGTGTTAACATAGGAAGGAACAAATTGATTGTCTTTCTGAGCCTCATGCACAAATCCACACTTCTAGGTTCACCTGTGCACTCTGCATTTCCTATACTGAAACCTCCTGAAAAATGGTTGTGGTTAGTATTGTGCTGGACAGTCGGCCTCAGTATTGTATGTGAAACCTCATTTTTACCCAGTGGTTCTAAGAGGAAGGGCTTTGGGAGTCTAGTCCCTTTTAGCTTTCTTGAGTTGCTTTTCTGTTGGCCACATTTTCATTTGTGTTGAACACTCCTGTTTTTATCATTGCTGGTACACTGTAGTTGTGACTTTAGTTTGCTCTTTTTTGTTTTCATTGGACCACCTCTATTGCCTTAGAATGGCTGGCAAGCTAATAACATTCAGATGACGGTCTCTGTAATGTGAATATATTCTTGACAGCCCTACATTCATAATGCTGCTTGTGCCTTGTTCCGGTATACCTACTCAGGCATGTTCTGTGCCACTTTAAATTTTTAAGGCTTCCCAAGGACCTGGGGTATCTGGTCTTGGACAGACCCCTCAAAGTAGGTAAATGCAATTGAGTTGGTATTGAGCTTTTATCCTTTAACACCAAATTTGTATGATTCCCCAGGAACTTCTGGTATGAGAGCGCAAACATAGTCCAGGTAGTCCAAGCCCTGTGTACCAGTGCTGTCTGCGTACCGCTGCATGCTTTTTCTCATACTGAGCAGAAAAGATGGGAAGAGAAGAAATGTCAATCTTCTTTTATTCTAAATATTGGACTTTATGGCTCTTTGGGTTTAGAATGAAGGTGATATTGATGCTGTCACTCAGTCATATGAAGTACTGTGCCCTTTTGTTGCTGAGAGAGCTCCTTGGCTGAATCCTAGTTTGGTGCCTTCCTTTCCCTTCTTTGTTTAAACAGATAATGTTCCTTGCTAATCCCCATACCATCCAAGGCAGAATTTCTTCTTTGGATAAGAACGTGGGCTCCGTGGCACCCCAAGGTCATTTCTGCTGCCATTTGGATTATCATTAAAGGTCACCAAGCTTTTTTCATGTCCTGCATTTCTCTGGTTTCTAAATCTTTTTGGGGAGGCATAATAAAGGAGATTATGACATCACTGGTAGTAAGTAGTCTGTCGTTCACTCGCATTCAGGCCACTTCAGCCCATTGCCTCTTATCTCTGTAGATTCAGTGCCCTGTGACCTTACTGGTATTTTGAAATACTAAAGGAGATGGATTGCTCACTGAACAGCACAAGTGTCATCACAACCACTTCATTTCAGTGATTCAGCTACGGCCACTGAAGAGAGAATCAGATTCAGGGTCCCTTCATATTCAGTCTTGCATGGGATTAGGTAACCAGGAAGGTATTAGTTCTTCCTGACTGTGACTTCCCAGTACAGCTGCATACAAATTAGCAATGGGAAACAGATCATTGTCAGAAGAATCTCTTAGCCCCAGGTGATAATGATCCTGCAGCCTTGCCCCGCTGAGTATAAATTGAAATGCTCAGTTCATTTTTCTCTGCTCTCACAAGTTTTTCACAACTTAATTTTATGTTTGTTTAGGCAAGAAATTTAGTTTTTGTATAAAAAATCATTTCACTATCAAAAGAAAAAAATCCTTGAGGCCCCTGACATGTTCTGCTACATAGTACCAAAACGTCCCAGAAAAAAACAGTGAAGTACAGACAGTCAAAAAGCCTGGGGCTGAATTGATTCAATCTTTACAGGTTAGTCTAAGCTTTGTAGACAGAACCAATAAGTAAGTGAACAGAAATTTGCTTTTCATTCTGGAAATGCAGCCACATGCTTGCAGTGGCCCAAGCCAGAACTTGGGGGCCACTGGAGCACACCTCCCTGCTCCTCTGCAGCAGACAGCTTGGACCAAGGCTAGCCCACCTGCCCTGTGTGTGTGTGTATGTGTTTTGGGGGGGGGGGGTGGTTTGCAAGGGAGGTGCAAAGCATCCTGGGATGCTGAGGGCCTGTGAGTTGACTTGAGTCTGGAAGGAATCAGGGACAGGGGTTCAATAAAACAATTTAACCTAAATCGGTTAAGTGCGATGCTTCATCCATCCAGTTTTATCTTAAACCGGTTTCAGCCACTTTGAAAGCAGTTTATGTGCCCTGAACTTCTGTTGTGTTACAGATTTGAACTGTTTTCTGGTCACTTATACTGGTTGATATGTAACTTCTGTCCCTAGCCAACAAGCCCAGTGCTGACATTATCATGCAGATCATGTGAAAAATAGAGATTGAAAGTTGTAAGCCATAGATGAGTAAAATCTATGTATTTTTAAAGCTCCAGTAACTATCCTGTGTACAGCAAACACCTTACTTAGGCTGCATGTTGAATTTGAGAACTTTTTCTCTGCACTCCCAGTTATACACTGGCTGTATTTCCTTCAGTCAAAAGCTGAATGCTTTTCATTCCCGTAGGGGAAGGTAACTTCACCGAGTATAAAGAGCTGAAGGGTGAAAATATGTTGAACTTTTAAGAATAGGTCTTTACAAATCCTCTCTGTGTGTGGTATTACAACGTGTAATTTATTATTTTGTTTTGTCCGGTAACCTTATCATTTATCCTCATTTTCTTTTACTTTTCAAAGTGAAGTAGGTGAATAATCTATAGAAAAAAGTGCTAGGCATCATAGTGTATTAATGTCAGGTATCAATCCTTCCTTGTAACTGGCTGAAGGTGGCAGTTAAGTTGGGTAAGGGATGCATGCTAAGTGTATGTTTTTTAGTGTTTCTAATGTTAATGCTTTTGTTGATTTACAGAAGATCGATGCCCAGGCCATTGAAGAATTCTATGGGTTAACATCAGACATTTCCAAAAACTCAGAATCTGGATATATCCTCTTCTACCAGTCAAGAGACTAAGATGAAAATGATAAATGTGTACAAATAAAAAAGGGATCAAGGTTATGTCCAAATAGGACATCATGGTGACAGCAGAAACAATTCCTCATCGTTGCTGTAGGATCATGAGAGATCCAGCAGGGAGAAGAAAGGTTTACCTCGGCCATTTCTTGGAGGATTAGTGCTGACTGCCATAACAAGCAGAGCTTTTGCTCCACTTTTCTTTCTAGGCTTTTTTTACGTGCTATCTTCCAAAATCTGTGTTACCTCGACTTGAAACCGGGCTGCTTATTTTGTTTGAGAACTGAAGTAGCATCGTAGAATTCTTTTTTTCCATTCAATGTTGGCCTGAAGCCATACTTTGGTTTCTATCATCATCGTTTTTCTGTATTTTAGCAGAATGATTTCAATATTCAGTGTCAGCTGAAGACATGTTTTAGAATATGTGCTGCAGCTGATTGCTGGATATTTTTGGTGACTCAGACATGAGAAACAGTACAATGCTAAGACATATGAGAAATACTGAGTATGTAATTTTTAAACACTTAGACAAGAGATCTCTGCAGCACTGTAAATTCCTCAGTATGTATCATTTTGGTTTTAGATAACACTAATAGCACCCTGTTTTATATATTTTTAATTCCTTCCTGCAGAAGATGTAAATGTTTTTTCCATATTCAGACTAATCTTATTGTACTTTTTACTTTTTTTAAAGTGGAAGTTTGTGAATTAAAGCCACATTGCTGCAGATTAAACAGGAGAAAAACAAACAACAAACAAAAACCGGTCCAACTTTTAAAAGTTCATGTCTGGCAGCCAGTTGTAGAAAGTTTAACATTGCAGTATTTCTTGGAGCTATGACACAAGCCAAAAGTGCCCTCTTCTGAAACAGCTGTTCAGCATTTCATTCAGTGTATAGTAAACTGAAGCAACTGGGATGGGATCTATGCTAATACACTGAAGCAGCACTAATTTTGAAGGGTTAACCAAGGGAAGCATTTATTGACATAACTAATCCAGTTGTTCTTAGTCTTTTGAAATAATGGATGTTTAAGGAAGGAAAAAAAAGATATACCCACATTTCCTTGCCAAGTGTTCCCTCCTCATCTGTTGGTAATGTTAGTTGTGACATGGGAATCATTGCCCCTGAAAATGCTCTCTGGTTTGTTGTGTTTCTATAGACCTTGCTTAACAGGGGGAAAGTACATTAGTCTTATGAAGACTGAATGGAGGTAATTATCTGTTATGTGTCTGTGTATATGTGTTATAATCTCAAGGATAACTAGACAGAAAAGATTAAATGAAATTTATAAGAGATCTCTGAAAACCTCATGTGACTTCTTTTCTTTTCTGTTAACTGTGCCAAAGCTTGTCACAACTGGCTCTAAACCATGAGTAGAAACTGATATTTTTCTTTCTTCGTCTTGTTAGGTAACATAAAAGCTGTCTTCTACCTTGTTGGTCCTGGTACAGACATCTGTAGTACGTACCTGTGATTGTTATTCATTGAGGACATTTAACTTATGCAATCTGTGGCTTGTACAGGATTTAAAATATTTTACCAAAATACTGTCCTCATGATGACAACACATCAGATGCACACCATTATTTTTGATGGCTGTACTCCTTCTCTGTTCCCTTTTGCAACCAGAAACATCTTGCTAGCCATGAATTCCTCTCTTCAAAGTGAAAATTAGTAAACCATGTTGTACTCCAACTGAGGACAAGTTCCATTCTCTCCGCACACCTCCTCCCGAAGATAAAGTATAGACATCTGACTGATGATTTTTAGTATGAGAAGTTGTGTCACTTTCAGAAGCATTATCTGTGACAGCAGAACCTTCTTGTCTTTTGCCCTGCCTGTGTGAAGATTGCTCTTGGTTGGGAATCTTCTCCCCTTGTTGACACACAAACCCAGCGCCCCCTTGTGGCGGCACTAACAGAAGTCTGTCATTAGTGAATCAAGCAAAAAAAAAAAAGAGAGCGCACTGAGTTTAAAAAAAAAAAAATCTCAACAGTAAATACAAAAAAGTAACATTAGACATGTATTTTGTATATCTGGCGATACATTTTTACAAATAAAATACCTGATTGAGAGAGAATATTGAAAGATATATACTATAGATTAAAAAGACCTGTTAAAAGTGCACTTTTGCTACAGATTTATAAGGAAACTAAATGGGATTAAATTGGAAGAAAATGGTGTGATGTAATTCTGTATAATAAATGACCCCAGCTGTCTCCAATAAAAGTAATGTATGGTCAAATGCACAAGGCCCCAGTGTTTTTCTTTTAAGGGTGTGAATCTTGCTCAGAGGTGAAAAATAAAGTAATTGATTGATTTGTTTCACCCTAGTTGGGGGCCTTTTCTGTTTTATTCTCTTTGTGTTGGCTGGTTTAGATCTTACTGGTGGTGACTTGTAACCAAGAAACTCTGTTTCCCCGGTCCTTTAATTGTTAGATTTGAATCATGTTGACTGCAAGTTGTTGGAAAAGCTGTGCAAGTAAAGGGGCTATGAAAGTCTTCTTGGCCCTTTCCATGAAGACTCTGTAAGACATGGCTACTGGAATATTTTGTTTTGCTCATCTGGTGTAAATCCAACTGAAAAATTGATAAAATACATAATTGCACAATGCGTGTGCTTCAATCTTCCCAGAAAAAAATAAAAGGTCCCTCCTTGAACAGTTTACACAAGTTAACCACTTTATTTGATGGGAACCCTTGATAAAGTATTATTCAGCTGAGTAAAAGTTTATAGAACCAGAGCAGACAACATTTAAGTACAATGTAAGCAAATGCAACTTTGGAAATGTCAGCTCTCTTTTAAGAAACCTTTTAAAATCCAAAGTGCACATTAACTGTAACCAAGAAGAATTATTTTACACGGGAAAGAATGAGTTCAGCTATTATTGGCTTCAGTGGGAAATTAGCTCATTTGTACTTGCAATGAATCAGTTCCGTTTTGGTGTCCAAATTAATATAGAATGTTTATATCTGATCATGATAAGTTCATGTCTTGATTCACAGTATGTTTCTTCTGGAATAACTCCTAGCAAGATTCTGCCACCTTAACTTGCACTTGGTAGATTGGTTGAGAACTGAGCCACTTCCATGAGACTGCTCCAGAAGAAGACTGCCACCCAATGGGCACATCTACACATGCTATTACTGTGCATGAATAAACTCTGGAACAATAAGTCCCAGAGTTTATTCACATGCAGCATGTGGAGCCAGGTCGTAACAACCCTGGCTGACAGGGCTCCCAGGGGTCGGCCTCCCAGCCTGGGGCTTTTCCCCCTCAGTTCAATGTGCTGCAGAGAGGCTGGTTGGGGCACGAGTGAGGTTCAGTAAGGGGCTAGGCAACAGGCAGCCTCCTCCCTAAAGCACCCTTGTGCCCCAGCTATCCCCTCCAGTGTCTACGTGTGTGCTGCTATGGTATTTTTTATTTCACAGCAGGATAGTACTTTTATTTATAAGTATTATCCTGCTGCAGAGTAAATTAGTTTATTCCAGCCTAATAGGAGTGCATGTGTCAACGCCGAGATGTTTACTGCACAGCTAATTGGTCAGCTGTGTAGTAAATCCTTGTGTAGACTCTCCCACTCTTGCTGTCAGTGGGTGACCCTGATCCTGTATTTGCTGTTCGTTATTTATCACTGCCAAATGTGGCAGAAAATTCCCCTCCCTTCCATTAAACTTATAGTCCAGTAGATCCTACAAAATAGTTGGACAAGAGTCCCACTCTTCAGATTTTACAGACTAAGAATGTTATTTATGAGTTTGTTACCAGCACTAGAACTGAAAGTCAGCATGCCAACTCACTTTAGAGCACATTTAAAACAAATCAAAGGTGCCTGGTATAAGGAGGCAACCAGACTAACAAAGGTCCCTGAGTCCTCAGAGAAACAATCCTCTGAAAGGTCACAGATTCTCTAAAATAAAGTCCTGCTAGCAGTTGCTACTGCTGCACTAATTAACCCTCTGACTTTTGGATACTTTCCCCTCCTTCCATAAAATCTGTGCTATCTCTGTACAAAGCTGCTTCTGTCTACCCTTGCTTAGTCTGTTCAGATTTTGGTTCCTAGGTGTAGTGGTGGAACATGATTTAGATCTTTTTTTTCTCAGCAATGAAGTTAGGCAGTGATGGTTGACAGCAGGAGCGTCTACAGAAGATGCTTAACTTCGCAGTAAGCATGCACGTCTACATGTGCGCACAGTTACCACGTAGTCAAAATCCCTAATCGCGAGTAGATGTGATATCTGCAAATGCAAGTATCGAATTTACTTGTAATTAGTTACTGTGCAGTAGCACACGTGTAGATGCGACCCAGGAGCAAATTTGCTCCCAGGTCAGCCCTGCCACTAAGGGACTGGCCTTAAGTTAGCTCCAAGCTGGGAGTGCCTCCTACCCCAGGACTGGGCTGCCTCAGGCCTTTAAAAGCCTGCAGGCGTTTTGAGCCCTGGGGCAGACCAGCCAGCAGCCTGGAACAACTCCAGGCCTTGTCTCCCTAGGCAGGCTGCAGGCTAGCCTCACCAGCCTGCTTGCACACTGGCACTGCTGCCTGGCACCACAGTGCTGCGCACCTGCCAGGCCATGCAGTCCAGGCCTTCAGGCTGCTGCAGGCTCCAGCCAGCCCTGCCAGCACCCAGGCCCAGCTGCAGGCAACTTCTGGCTGCTGGGGCCAGCTCCAGCTGCCCACAACCCACTCCCAGCAACCTGGCTGGAGCCTGAAGGTGCTGCAGGGCATTGCCGCAGCTGTCACTCCCAGGCCAAGCCCCTGTGCTGGGAGCTGCAGGCAGCTATCCAGACCTAGCCACACAGGGACAACTGCGCAGAGGCCCAGAGGGCACTTGCCTGTGACCCACTGTCTGAGGACACCTCACGGAGCTGAATGTCATTGCTGATGATGCCAGCTAGGCAGGCACGGGCCTCTCTCATACTGAGGGAAGCATCAGTGCTGGTGGCAACATCCTTCTCAGCAGCGTGGGGCTAGGATGTATAGCGCAGCCACAGGCAGCCCTCCAGGTGGTGGAAAAGTTTGTGGGGCAGGCCAGGCTTGCCCCCCACACCATTGTAGCTCAGGGTCCTGTGCCAGGTGCACAAGTTTGCCTGGGGCACCATTGCCATGAGCAGCAGCAGGGCAATGGTGGGTTGGACACCCCTCGGTCTGTGCAAACAGCTCCTTGCACAGTGCTGAGGACTCGTGCAGCAGGGGCATGAGTGGGGGCGTCTACCCAAAGACTTCTGCAGGGAAGGCGGGGGTACAGGCAGCTGCTCCTTCCAGTCATCCAGGAGCCCCACACCTCCTGAGCCTAAGTACCATGATCTGGGTGGCAGTGCAGGAGATGGGCTGGCCTGCAGGAGAAGTCAGGGACAGCAGGGTCTGGAGCCACAGCAGCAGGTACTGCCAGGTCCTGCCCTGGGAATGGGGCGGAGGAGGCAGGCTACCTGCGGCCAACACCCAGCAGCCTGCTGACCTTTGGGGAGTGAGTGGGAATGGGATTTAGCCGGCAGCCATCTGGGCCCAAGCCTGCCCGCCCAACTTACCATGGTTCCTGAGCACCCGTGCATGCCTGACTCCTCATCTGAGGCTGGGCAGTGCACAGCACTTGGTATAGAGCATCTTATCTCCAAAGTGTTGCAAACAGCTTCTTTCTCATGTCTCTACAGGGCCTGCAGCTGCACATGGGGGAGAGGCCACACTTGGCAGCTGGGATGTGGCCTCCGAGTTGCTGGGGCCCGGCAGATTCACTGGTTCTGCCAAAAGAGGACCCTGGACAGGATCCTCCTCCTGGACCACCTGGTCATGGCATCAGAGGACCAGCTGGCAGATGCTCAGTGGGCAGAGGACATAGCCTGCCAGGACAGGTGGCAGTCAGAGGATGTGGCCTACAAGGGTGCGTGGGACTAGTGCGAGGAGGCACGGGACCAGGTGGAGCAGCAATTGTGCGTGCAGCTCCTGGCCCTGGAGCGTGAGCAGGTGGAGGCGCTGTAGGAGCAGACCACAGTGCTAGGGTGGGGCAGTGCCAACCATGGACGATGACCGCTGGGTGCTGGACACCATTCTGACCCTGGCAGTTGCCTTCATGCTGCTTGCTTCCTGGTCCCCAATCCTAGCCCCACCTGCCCCTGGCAGCCACCCATCACCCAGCAGCAGCCAGGAATCCCTGGCCCTACCCCCGTCCCTGGGCCTGTACCACCCATCCCTGCTGCTCACCCTGGCTCCATGCAGGCATGGAGCTGCCTACAGTGGGACCAGGACTGCACACCAGCCCTGCTGGCACTAGACACTGTCTGCTGGAGGGGAAGCTACCTGCACTGGGGGACCACTGACCACCGTCACCCCTGGATGAGCCCCTTGCCTGCCACACCTGCTGCAGTGTGCACACCAGTGGGGGGAATGGCTAGAGGTTTGGGTGCCGGCCACCTGTCCCCAGGCTCTGCCCCCTAGGCACTCCCACCCCTTGGCCCCCCTCCCAAGGACATCACATAAAGGACATTGTACATAGTTTTCACAGAGAAGGTTTTTTATTGTTTGAGGGAGTGGAGGGGCTCTGTTTGTTGTGAGGGGCTCTGTTGGGGAGGGAGTGGGAAGAGGGGCTCTGGTTGATGTGAGGGGATTAAAAACTTGTTTTCCTGAGATGTGTCTGCAGTGAGCATGTTGCAAGAGGGGTGGGGGGTCCATGGGCAGTGATGCAGGCGGGCTAGAGCAGGGAGTGCTGGAGGAGGTGGACAGCCAGAGCCTCCGGCACCCAGTGCCCTGGCTCCTGCTGGTGGGTGTGCTGCCTCAGGTGGTATTTCCACTGCCAGGCATCCTCCACACATCGCACTTCCTGTGCCCGGGCCTTGCAGAACACCTCCCCCCTGGCTCTCTCAGATGTTATGCAGCACGCAGGCTGCAACAAAGACCCGGGGGAGGTAGTCTGTGATGAACTCAAGGCAGGTGGTGAGGGTGTGCCAGTAGCCCTTGAGACAGCCGAATGCAAACTCCAGCCCAGGCAGTAGTTACAGTGGGACTGGCAGGGGTCCAGGTGGCTGGTGCAGGGCCACATCAGCCAGGGCAGGAACAGGTAGGCAGGATCCCTGATGTGGAGGGGTGGGACCACCACAGCACCCAGCTGCAGGTCCAGCACCCCCGGCGCGAAGCACCTGCTCTCCCCCAAGCCCAGCAGGCCACAGTTCCTGAAGACATGGGCATCTTGGGTGCTGCCCACCCAGCTGGCACTCGTGTGCGTGCAGCCCCATGGTGGTCTATGATAGCCTGGAGCA